TATATGTTTAGCTTTTTTAGTTCAATATTTGTTCTTTTAAGGTGGTAGTGCTAGAAAAATCTCTTTTAAAAACTACTTTGCCATAAACTTTTGAAAAAATTGGAATTTATGTTAAAAATCATCTGACAAAAAACTTTTTCAAATATTTCTTACTCTTAAAAAAGTATAATATTTGAAACAGTTCGATAAATTATTAATTACTATTACACTATACAAAAATATACAAAATATAATAAAATATTTAATTTGAAATACCACAGTGATATATTTATTGGAGCTTTATACGTGTGTATTATGTATCATTTTATTATAGATATACCATTTTATATCATATCATATATCGAAATTAAATACGACTGGACGTAAAACTCTTGTCCAATTACGCTCATCTTAACCTCATTTTTTTAGTTTTTTTTTTTTAATAATAAATAAAGAAATCAGGGAGAATTTCTAAAAAATTATTTTTACTCCACCCTAATGTTTAAACCAAATTGCTAATACTTATTAAAATTATTGACGAGAACGACTCAAATATATAATAATAAATAGATAATTTGCATAGCTAAATTTATGAGCTAGATTATTGAAAACCGTTTGTTTTTTGAAAAAATCCACAGATGGGAGAAAATACTAAGCATATTTACCACCGTGTTTTTTGAACTTTTTTATTATTGTTATTAATACAAGTTGTATCGTGAAAAACATTTTACAGATTTTTAAGAAGCTGGGTAACCATCTACATTACATGATGCAAGATAACCTGCTGTATAAGCTGTATGCTCATGTATAATATGCATGTGTTCTAAATATTTTTGCATAGAATACTTATTTGTACCATATGTGGAACAAGTAAAGCAAACTATGTTACTGCTTGCTGCCAAACTATTTTACTTAAAGTTATAATTGACTTAATTAAAAAAAAAGTTAATAAAAGTAAATAAATTTGGAGTAAATAAATTTAAAAAATAGTTTTAATATAAAAAAATATGAACATTAAACAACCAACAACTTTTTGTCTTGATTAAGACAGTTCAATTCTAAACATCTACAGACATATTTTACAACTTATTTTAAATATTTTGTCATGCCAAAAATTAACAAAACACTTACAAATTTTTAATTCAGATTCAAATTGATTTTTTTAACAAAAACCAATTACAAAAACTACGCTGGCTTAAAACAACAAACTCACGAGAAGAAAAACAAAATAGAGTTTGCATACAGAAACCATATTTAGGGTTCTTCAAAAACGCTAAGAACCTTATTGCAAATCAGTAGTTTGAATAAAAAATTTATAAGAACCATACAATTGCGCATAGAACTTGTTAACTCTTTGAATAATCCAAACTTAATGTAAAGAATATTTTAGTTTCTTCGAAGAATTCTCAGAACCTTCAAAAACCGTTTAGACTTACAGTGGACTAATGTAACTACGCAAGCTATTTTTAGTTGCTTGAGTATCATATTTGGCATTGATATCATTGCTAAAGACATGATATTATATCAACGTTGAATTTTCATCACAAAAAACAACCGACGTTTGTAATGGTTTTATATACGTTGCCCAATTTTTTGCCAAGTCTCTTCATTGTTCATTCCATTTTGTAGCGCCGCTTTATAAGTTCATTCAAATGGATATATCTAGTTTTGTTTTGTTTCGTTTTTTATTATAATATGGCTCATCAATGCACTCTCGGCCATTATGTGACCTCTTAAGGCTCTTAACAAGTAGCAGCTTTATCACTAAGCATTTTTTTACCGTATCTTCAGAGTAAATTTGCTCTAAAACTTCCTCAACACCAGTTTTGGCATAAGTTTTCCATTGCTTCCAAGAAAACGCGTCATTATGTGAAATCCTTCAAGTCGCTTTGATTATGTGAAATCCTTCAATCCTTCATCTCACTTCTGCTACAGCATGGGGCTCATAATTTCTGGTGAACTTTAATTCAGATAAAACTCAATTTTTTTCAGCCAATCGTTATCGCAATAATTTAGACCTTCCTATGAGTCTCCTACCCTTTATCTTCTAGGATTAACTCTTACTTCTGATCTTTCTTGGAAACCTTATATCAAATCCGTTGCAAAATTAGCATCTGCTAAAGTTGCTTCTCTTTTCGAGCTCGACACTTTCTTACTCTGGATTCTATTCTCTATCTCTATAAATCTCAAATCCGGCCTTGTATGGAATACTGTTGCCATATCTGGGGCGGATCTTCTAATGATGCCCTTTCTCTTTTAGACAAGTTGCAAAAACGCATTGTAAACATAGTTGGACTTGCTCTTGCAGCCAACCTTCAACCTCTATCACATCGTCGTAATGTTGCTTCTCTTTCTCTTCTCTACAAATACTATAATGGGCACTGCTCTAAAGAGCTAGCGTCTCTTGTGCCATCTACAAAAATTCATTCTCGTGTTACTTGTCATTTAATTAATTCTCATCCTTTTTCTGTTACTGTTCCTAAGTGCTCCAAAAACTCTTACTCGTCTAGTTTTTTTCCTCGAACATCATCAGTTCTTTGGAATTCGCTTCCTTTATCTTGCTTTCCTGATTCATATAATTTGCAATCTTTTAAGTCGTCTATCAATCGTTATCTTGCTCTACAAGCTTTATCTTTTCTCTTCCAGTAACTTCCAACACTATTTAGTGATTGCTTGCAGCCTTGTTGGAAGCGAAAAAAAAAAAAGTCGACATACTATATCGAAACTCTGATCTTTTATAACAGCAAGTATTTTCTACCAAGAAAACACTTGCTGTTATAAAAGGCTGAACTAATATAATACTTCCTGTTATCAACACTATCTAATATTTGTCATGTCTGTATTATTTTTTTTAGTTAGTTATATAGTTAGAGGAGCCTTAGTTACTGTGTGAGCTCACCCTTAATTTACTATGAAAATTTGTGTTCTGCCTGAACTTCTGGCGCGGTGTTTGCTCGGCCATAAGTTATTATAAGTATGTTTGCGTTCTGCTTAAAACTTTGGTGTGGTGTTAGCTCAACTACCAACTATTGACTCCAACTACAAAATTTACGCTCAGCTTTTCCAGTATTTCATTAAATGTAAAGCTTTTCCTAATGCTTTTCCAAAATATCATGTTCAATGTTTGAAATTAAAACTTCCAGGAAGTAACTACTTTTAGCTACACCAGGTCAGGATCAGGATCATCACGATCACCCTGCTACTATCATAAAACCTAGTACTTTTTTTTTTTTTTTTTAAGTTGATTAAGGCGCCCCAAGAAGTCCTTACGGTCTTATCACAGAGCACCGCGGATGAGCATTTAATAGGAAGTTCACGCCTCCTTCCCAACCGATGTCGCAAAACTTGCCCAGAGGTGGGGTTTGAACCACGGATCTTACGTTTCTGAGACAAGTGTGCTACCACTGCGCCACAGCTGCTCCCAAAAACGTATATGTTCATCATAACAGTCATACGAGTAACACCACCCAGTACTACATCCCCCATGCTCTGCTGCTATGTAGGGTTTGCTTATTTATACAAAGACTAGGAGAAATAAATTTCGACTTGAAAAAATTATTAAGACGTTCATTAAGAATTTTTAAATTTCCGCTTAAAATTAATATACAATTTTTTACTTGTTCTTTTACTAATTTACTTACATCCAAAAAAAGTTTTTGTTCTTCAAAGCTTACTGGTTATTAATTTCTCAAAGTTTTTTAGTGTTAAACCCTTTTTTTTTTGATTTTTCTAAAAGCATTTATATAGAGTATTTATTACATTATTAGTTTCAATATTAGGCTTCTTTTATCAGTTTATTATTTACGATTTTTTGCCTGCCAATTATTCGGGCAGACCATTTCTTTTAGAATACTTCAAAAACCCTGAATTAGGCAACCTTGTGGCATGTTTGGCGGGTTGTACTTTTGCCAAATAATTTATTAGTTACTTTCCAAAGAACAACGTCACTGTTTTGTATAACGCGATTAAGCCAGGTCAGCCCCAAAAAAGTTTTGGACATCACTTAATGCAATGCTCTTTACAATGATTGTTAAGATTTTGGCTAAGTGTAAAGCCACAGGTGCCAATATTCGGTTTTAACACCCCTTATCAGAAAAACACAACAATTAATGATAAATTTTTAACATATAATGGTTAAATTTTTAAGTTAACCTATATTTCACGTTTTAACATTACTTGACTTATCAACCAGGTCATATTTTAAAAATCCGGAAAATTTTTTGCGTAAAATATGTTTCTAATTTTAAAGCTTAAAAGCAAATATATTACATAACTTATATAATATATAAGCTATGCAGTATATTTGCCTAATATATTACATAGCTTATATTATATAATACAAGTTATGTAATGTATTACTAAACTTATATAATATATTTGCTTAAAAAGCAAATACATATATAAGTTTAGGTATAACTTTTTGTATATATAAATATATACAAAAAGTTATATATAACTTGTATGTGTAGAAAATGTTTTGGATATCCGGAAAGACTAAAAGTAAAAAAAATTTCCAGAATTCCGGATAGACTAAAAATGTCATCGCGCTATGTGATAAAGTGAAATAAAACTCATCATCGATAATGCATTATTTTCCTACCAGATAATTACATATTTGGCGTATTCTTTCATCTGGTCATTATTTCGCATTTATATTTTTTTCATTTTATGGCAATTGATGTTGGATAAACTTATAAAAAGTAATTATTCTGTCTTTCATTTAAATTTTCTGAATAAAAGACAGTTCTGTTATTTCTTTATCGTAAAAAATAATAGCGCATCTTAAAGACCACGATATATTCAAATTTATAAACACGTCTGTAAAATCAAGCTGCATATAAATACGAAGAATGATTTTACAGACAGCACGGCACGCAAATCTTTAGTTTGTTTTGAAAACTTTTTTATATAACCAATTATTTACAATTCATCTCTATTTATTGTTTGTAATTAGAATTTATAGGGATTTTGTGACAAGACCTTTATGATCTTGCTAAAATGTAATGAGAAAAAAAGAACTATTGATCAAGAAAGAAAAAAAGTTGTTAATTCCAAAACGAATTCAAGTAAATTAACTAGCGTAGCGTGAACACAATATTTATAAGTATTCAAACAGTTACACGACGATACACACAGATATATTTATATACCAGACATATATATATATATATATATATATATATATATATATATATATATATATATATATATATATATATATATATATATATATATATATATATATATATATATATATATATATATATATATATATATATATATATATATATATATATATATATATATATATATATATATTAATGAACAAATCCTACAGGATTAAAGACAAGGCAATCTGTGGGCTCCACCTCTATTTTAATGAAAAGAGTCTGTTCTTTTATATAATTTCTCGATTTCAATGTTTCCAAAGAAACAAATTTTGGACAACCAAAACCTAAACTTTTTGATTTGTTTGGACGCTTAAAATAATCGCTATTTCGCTCACATGAAAGCTTCCAAATTTTGTTGACTCGGTTATTCACTTCTTCATCTTGGTCTATAAGAACAAAGTCGACATTTTGCCTGAACGGCCATGGTAATATTGCGTCATACTCGCCTTTCATTATGACCACGTACAAAGAAAGGTGAGAACCTTTTCCTTGGCCGAGACCATTTAAAAATGCTTCAGCACGAAGTTTATAACCATATTGACCTGTATAGAAAGGGGGACTACACAATTTTTCTTTGTCTTTTTTTGTTGCCGATTGTTTCATTAGTAAGTCATAGTTTGTTATCTTCCATAAAAACTTGCCATTCATACATATTGTTTCTTGGCGAATCTCAAGCTCTCGAATTCGCATATGAGCAAATTTTAAATGCTCTTCTATGGACTCACGCAAATGATCTTCTAATTCGTTTCGCCGTGCCTATTGTTTAAAAAATTGTTTATCAATAATATAAATAAAAACATTATTTTAAAAAATAAATTACTTACAATATAAAAAGCAATAAGAAAATAACAAAATTATGCGATAAACAATAATAAAGTCAAATATTTATAGTTAACAAACTAACCAATAACTTCAAATAAATGGAAATTTCTCAAGGTATTATTATAAAATAATATGGATCAAGTGATTTGACGTTATTAAGTGCACTTTTCAATTTTTTTGTTTTGATTTACATTTGACGGCATGGGAGTTTTTAACATAATAAATGTCCATTTTGTAACATTTATTATATGCTAATAAATACTACTACTAAAAATAAAACTTTGAATAAAATTTATGAGGAAATAAAGACAATGAATCTCCAAAGATAATGAATATTATACGCAGATAAATAAATGAATCTCCAAAGATAACGAATATTATACACAGAGATTTTAAAACAAAAATTTCTTTTCTCAAGACAAACTGTATAATTTCTAATCAATCTGTAAAGAAGTGTCTTTATACGAGGCCAAAAAGATGTCAAATCTGTTTGTCTAGGCCCAATAATCTGGTAATTTCACTTCATTTTATCCTTAGAACAATTATTCACAAAACATACATTGCTAGATAAAATTACAACTCTCGGAATTAGAAAAAATGAGGTCGGCAATAAATAGCCGACCTCAAACTTTTATAGGTCGGCTATTTATTGATCTTAAACACTTTTAGGTTGGCAGTTAGGTCGGCATTGCCGAATGTCGACCCTAATTCTGAGGGTTGATATTACTAACTTATAATAACTAACAATAATTAATAATATTAACTAGATGGTAAAAAATAAAAAAAAACTGCATGAAAATAAAACCACAGCTAACTGAAAATAGAAACCTTAAATTTGCAGCCTACATCACTGTAGCGACACGCGACTATTGCTAGAGGACAATCACCATCAGCATCAGTGTGTTGACTCATCTAAATGACAAACATTGATAAAGAATAAAAAAAAAAGGACCTTTTTTTAAAATTATTAGTTTATTATGTTTACTGCTTTTATTTAAAATTGTTTATTCGATTGGAAGTTTTTGATATAAGATATCAAGTCAAATCAAAAGTTTTATCCAGCAGCTCTTAGTAACGGACTGTACAATCATGTGATATTGCTCTTAGTAACGGACTGTACAATCATGTGATATTGCTCTTAGTAACGGACTGTACAATCATGTCATATTGAGTTGGAAAAAATTTTTAAAAGCAAAATTTTTTTTCTCAAACTTTCAACTCGATGACCACTCTTATCACAGATAAGATTACAACGTTTTAGACCAGGACATTAATGCTTTATTTATAAGTTCTTGAAGGATTTTCCTCCACATAACTAATATATGTCAAATAAGTCCAGTAATATCTTTTGCTTTTCATTTTATTATTTGATTTAACATATAATGTTAAATCAAATAAAAAATGTTAAATAAAAAAAAAAATGAATGTTAAATGAAGAGATGAATAAACTTGATTTTTTGGTCAGTTAAAAAGTTAATGGCTATTTTTGAAGAGCAAAAAGGTGGGGTTTGATGAAAAAAGTCATTTTTTTGATAAAATCATTTTTAATAAATGGTTTTTAAAACACTCTTTATCTACTTGAATTTTAACTCTTTGACAAATAGTAGAGATGTTAATCTATTTTCCCAAATTTCACCCCATAACATGACAGCTTTTGAAATTTACTCTTTTTATAATATGGTACTCTTGGAATGCAATGACATCGCAAATGGCGGAAACATTTAACTAACGGTGAAAAGGAAAAAAAGAGTAAAGGAAAAGTGAAGGAAATTTTTAAATAATAAAAAAGATTAGTTACAAATAATGTAAAAAAAGAAAATAATTGAACGGTATAAACGAAATAAAAGATTGAAGAAAAAATAAAATAAGAAAATGAATAAAAGAAAAAAAAAGAACAAACAGATTTAATCAAACAAAAACAAAACAAAGAAAAACAATTAACAGCAAAGTACCAATTTAAAAGTAAAAAGTTCGAAAAACGTTTGAAATAATAATTAAAAGAACTAATTTAAACGTAAAAAATCGCAACCAATTTTTCTACACCTTTTTTTTTTGTGGCAAATATGTGATATTTGTTATAATATTTTTTATTATTATACTAATTATTAACTAATGTTATAGTATTACCATTAATAACTTTTATTAAATATTATATTTGTTAAATATTATGATTTTGTGTATGCATTTCTTTTTTTTAGTTTTTGTGTTTCTCTTTTCGTTTGCTTCAAGTTTATTATTATTTGTGCTAATTATTTTTATTGTTGTTTTCTATTTTACCAAATTTTCTACACTTTTTTTTTTTATTTCGCAAATAATAACTAAAGTTTGTCCTTATTTTTTAATTTAATTTAATTTTGTAGAAGTATTTGTGTTTGCCTTTTCGTTTTGTTGTTTTTGTGTTTAATCTTGAAGTTTTTGTGTTTTGTCTTTTCGTTTGTGTAAGGTTTGTTTTTTATTTGTTCTGTTTTGCTAATTATTTTTATTTTTGTTAGCTATTGTTATTGAGTGATTTCATATTTTTGTCTTATTATTTAACTTATTTTAGCTTCATCGTTGTTATTATTATTTTATTTATTTTCTTAGCAATTTTCGGTTCATATTTGTTATTTTTATCATTATACTAATTGTTATAACTAATTGGTATCACTCATTTTGATCATGAGTGACATTCATGTCATCATATCATTTGTATTATTATAGATAATATAACTATTTTTAAATATTATTGTTATAATTATTTGGCGTCACTCCTTTGATCAGGCTTCTGTTTGAGGGATACCTTCCTCTTCAAATAATTATTTATATTTATATTTATTCTTATTAGTTATATTTTATTATAATTATATTATTTGTATCATTATAGATAATATTATTATTTTTTAATTATTATTGTTATAATTATTTGGTGTCACTCCTTTGATCAGGCTTCTGTTTGAGTGACACCTTCCTTTTCAAATAATTGTATATATTCATTCTTATTAGTTATATTTTATTAAAATTATATTGATTGTATTATTATAGATAATATTATCATTATTATTGTTATTATATAATTATATTTAAATTTTGATAAGGAAAATAAATATCTTGTTGTTGTTGTTGGTACTTTTTTTTATTTATGAATTATGGATTTTTTAGATCACAATTAGTGTAACAACTTTGCATTTGTTGTAATGATTTTTGTTCAGTTTTTTTTTTTAATAAATAAGTTGTTTTGGTCTTGTAAACCTCCTCTCAATTGCACCAGGTGATGATGTTTTGATCTTGTAAACCTCTTCTCAATTGCACCAGGTGATAATGTTTTGATCTTGTAAACCACCTCTCAATTGCACCAGGTGATAATAACACATTCTTTAAACTAAATATCAAAATATTTTATCAAAATAACGTTTAATTGACTTTCTTGATTTCTTAAACTTTCAGATAATTTAGAAATAGTTGGTGGATTGAATTTTTTTAATTAGTTTTTGTTCTGTAAAATTTATTGTGAATTTAGCTTTAATTGTTGATGTCTACACAGCTTTTTTTCAATATAAATCTTATTAAAATTTGTCAATATAAAATTTTAATAGTGGTTATTGAACTTTGATTGGTTTCTTTTCTAATAATATCTTAACTGTTCAATACAATATCCAAGCTGTGCAAACAATAAAATGAGCACTTTAATATTTTCTTGAGTTTTTTTTATCAACATGCTTTGTTTACATAAACTTTTATTTTACCACTAACAAATTTGTTCACCTCTAGGAAATTATAAAAAATTGTTTTGTTTTTTTCATACTTATCAAAGAAAAAATTATTGAAATAATTAAGCTTAATATATTAACTAAATGTGTGATTAAATGTGTGATTAAATGTGTGATTAAATGATATAAGTGTTTCCAGTTCATTTTCACATAACTGTAAAATAATCTTAGCATTATTATTCTTATTATTTATACTATTATTATTATTATCATTAATATTATTGTTATTAATATTTTAGTGTTAATCATCTGCCCAAGATCTAGGGCCAATCACAATCAAGGAGACTACTTTGTTTTTTTTTATTTGTAGTTACAACCCTCTCTCAATTCTTTAACGCTGAAACACGAACCATGTTAAAGAAGGCTGCTGTGTGAAGAAACAAGTTGTCATCAACTTTATTGGCCTTATTACTAAAGCCAATAAAACTGATATTTTGGATAAAAGAAATATGAATAGAGTAAAAGCTTTCAAAGCTAAACATGGTACAATTTTACCATTTTAAAGCAACTAGTTTTTAATATACCTGGTTTCTATGAATATCTTTCCTGCCACATGCATTAACACATGCCACTTCAATAAGTTGACACTGCTCTAAATGATCCTAAAAAAATATAAAAGATACAATTAATCAATTAACAATAGTGGTGCAGGGGTTGATCACAGGAAGTCCCTGCAAATGACTTCTGCAAAGTTTTTATTAATGTTTAGAAAAGGAGTATTGAAGGTTTTATATACTTTAATTAATCAATAAAAAAATCTTTTATTAACTAAATTGCAAAAACTGTTAAAGAAAAATAAGCGAGAAAATTTAGAAATGGTAGTTTGCAGCGAGTAGTGCGTCTATATATTCTGCTTAAAAATACATTTTTATCATTGATTTTTAAATATTTTTATACATATATCCTAATTCTTAATAATTGTTGTTTTTAATTGCAAGATATTTAGATAAGTGATTTGTTCTTTAAGAACATTAAGCACTCTATTTCGAACACACTAACTTAACTTACACACACACACACACACACACACACACACACACACACACACACACACACACACATATATATATATATTATGTTATATATTTATTATATATATATATATATATATATATATATATATATGTGTATATATATATATATATATATATATATATCCTTATAGTGTAGTCGAAAGAGACTTTTATGGTAAAAAAAGTCTCTTTCGACTCAATTTTTATTACCTTGTCTCTTAAGCTGTATTTGATTGTCATTGAAATGTCAAAGCAATTAAATTAATGTGGAAGTACATTAAATTTTATTGTTTTTTAAAAAAACCGCAATAATAATGACTAGAAAGTTTTTTTAATTAGTGGTGTTTTTGTTTTTGTTTTATTAAAAAACAATTTTATTTTTAAAACATGCGTAAGTGTTGCTACATCGACTATCTTATAGCCTGCTGCTACAAGGGGGTGTTGCTACATTGACTATTTTATACCCTGACTCGCAACGGAGTGCTGCTACATTGACTGACAAATAGCCTGACTCGCAAGGGAGTGCTGCTACATCGACTGAGGGTTTGGTTTGGGCAGGCAGTCTATCATTTAAAAAAAAAAAAATTTAATCCTATATTGGTCTTCGAAATTGAAATCATTTTTAGTAAATTTAAATCATTTTTAGCTGTAAGAAGGACAACAAGATGAGAGATTTTATCAGATGCTTTTTTTAAAATCGATACTAATACATCGAACATAACCACCAGAAGATATGAGTTTGTTTAAAGTCCAAAGAACCATCATTGTAAGAGCATTAGTTGTGCCTTTATAAGGGCCTGGAACGAAAGCGAATTGAAACGGATTAAATTTTTTTTGAAAGGAAGGTATTAACCACTGTTTGACTGCAATCTTCTCTAAGATCTTAGCAGCGCTGCAAAGTAATGAGATAGGGCAATACTCGCCGTTTTTCTTTTTAATTTGAACCACATGAGCTTTTTTCCATGCAGATGGAAACTTAAGTTGAGAAAAGCTACAATTGAAAATGAGCGTTAAGGGGGCAGCCAAAATATTGGCGTAATCTCTGAGGATAGTTCCAGGGATACCACCTGGTCCACTAGCCAATGATTTAATTTTTATTAATTCTTGGTGGACAAGGTATTCATTAGTTTCATAGAAGGTAGCAAGGTTGTAGTTGTTGTTATTTATAATAAAGTTATCTATATCCTCTGGGTCGAACACCTTTGCAAAGGAATCATTTATTTCAATGGCTTACGATATTATACGATATATTGTAAAATATTTAGGTTGTTGACAAGGCTTAATAATATTGTTGATAGCATTCCATTTTTTCTTGATACTACAATTCTTATTTCTAATTGACAAAAATCAAAAATAGACTACCAGACCACCATCGTGTTTATTTCTTCTCAGCAGAGAGTAGTCTTTCAATCCAACCAACCCATCAGGAATGGACAAGTTGAGCCAAGTCTCGCTTATAATTAATATATCGAATTTATTATCATTATCTTTTAAACTGAGCTTGTCGATTTTGTTTTGCAAGGAGTGGGCGTTAGTGGCTAAAATTGAAGGCATTCCTATAGCTATACTACAATTTTTTGAAATCTGAGAATTAGCGCAAACATTTCACAATTTTTTAACATTTTCACAATTTTTTAAATTACCATCATATTTAGGAGGCAGACTATTTATGATGATTTTGCACTTTGCATAGAAATCAGGTTTAGGCCATTGAGTGTCATGGACATTTATTTCAGTGTATATATTTTTGGCAACAGGACCTATGATACTTTCTGTGCAAGTATTGTTATTACTTCTGTGGGTATTGTTGCAATTCCAAATTTTAAAATGAAACAGTTTTTTACGGTATCTCCTTGTTAAAGCTTTAGTAGAATTTATATAACGGAGTTCCATAAGAGACTGAACGTTATAAGAAAGAATTTTCTTGGCTTCCATATTTTTGAGATATTTTATTTTTGTTTAGAAATTGTAATAGATAAGGATAATGAAAGAGTACAATGAATTTGGTTAATGGAGATAAAATTTATTTTTAAGTTGCGTTTGATTAACGTTATGGATGCTTCTTTTGCTGATACATTTATGGTTAACTTGCTGAATATTTCTTTTAATAATATTGATACAGTTGGTTTCACACGTTATATTTAATGAAAGTGTATGTAGATAAGATTTTAGATATATTAGATAAGTCCAAAGAATAAAAATAAAAAATAAGAAATTTTGGGGAGTTTTTAAAAACACGCCTTCATGCCAAAAAATTGTGCCGAAAAAAAAAAAGTATGTATGTATGAATGTATGTATGTATGTATGTATGTATGTATGTATGTATGTATGTATGTATGTATATATGTATGTATGTATGTATATATTTATGTATGTTTGTTTGTTTTTTTGTAAGAATGTATGCATATATACAACAAACTCAAGTAGTCGAGTTCAAAGATAAAGAATCTATGTGATATAGAGGTTTCACAATTAGTGTACTTGGATTTCTTTAATTTGTAATTTACATGAATGATATTACATCAAAAGTTATGTCATTTATCAATTTATTTGCTTATGGCATTTTGATTAGAAGTGTACCTGATATTTTTGCCGGATATGCCGGATAGTGAACTTTTCTAAGATTCTACAAGTTTTTGTAAAGAATAAATTTTTTTCTTTCCAGACTGCAATAAATAGTATTCAAGATCTTACTTAAAAAAATGAGTGAAAAACTGTATGACATGGTATATATGCTGACGAAGTATAGAAAATAGTAACTAAAAAAAACAAAAGTTTGGTTATAAAAAACGATTTTTCTTTATACATTATTAACGCATATACCTGTGTTATACCAGTTTTTTTATTGATTTTGTTTTTTTAATCTTGAACACTATTTAATGTAGGATAGCAAAACTTGTTTTTACTTCATAAACACTTATAGAACTTGAGAAAAGTTCAATATCCGGCAAAAACATCTGGTACACATCTAATTTTGATGTGCATTGATAGTACTAACTTTTAAATAATCAACGCAGGCAAATTATTTTTAAAAAATAGAAAGAAGCAATTCATCAAAGAAGCACTTCATTTAAGTACTTAGTAAATGGCTAAAAAATTTACTAGGGGCCACCAAAACAGCATTTTAGATTAGATATTTTATTTTATTACAAATTATTTGATTAGGGGGCATCTGTGAAGTATGTACATAGTTATGGAGAAGTGTGTATGTAGTTATGGAGAGGGGTTACAAGATAGTAAGTATGTATGTAGATTGACTAAATTTTGTATAAATTTTTATTTATTTTGGTTTTCAATTTTTTTTTTAAAGTTACATTCAAAAAAATGTTAATAAAAATTAACTAAAAGTTATCTTGTTTTATTTATTATTATTTTTTTTTTTTCATGCTTTAATATTTTACATTAACAATGCATACAAAAACAGGTAAATATTTTATATAATATAAAAACTTTATGGATACCCCTAATTAGATATGCAAGCATTTAATACATAAATAGCAAGCTTTCCCATACAAAAAGTTGACTGTTTTCATATGTAAAATTTATTGCTTTTGTCTGACATGTCAAACTCATCAAATTGTTTCAAATTATTAAGTTTAAAATAAAACAAGTGAAAAACTATGTCGCAGTCTTAAAATATAAATGAAAAATGTAATTAAAATGTAAATTAAAATATAATGGAAAAATCTCTGATCTTTTATTTCTTGAACATTTCAAGACCCTCATTCAGCACATAATATTCCAATAAGTAAGAAAATGTATAACATATACTTAGACAAAAAAAATTATAAGATGTGAATTCTGTTTTTTTTTAAGATTTATTTTAATTGGTTTTTTTTTTAAAAAAAATAAAAATGATGACCATGTTTTTTTGCAGTATTCTGATGAACAGTATTCTGATGAATACAGCTAAGGCAATTGTTTTAAGGAATTTTCTCAAAATCTCTACAGGTTGGCATTTCCAGCATTTAGTTAATGCAAGTTAATTAAATTTTTTTTGAAGCAAGTAAAACTTAAAAAAAAAAAAAGTGCATTTCTATTATATCTGATATTTCCGACACAACAGAAGAGTGACAGATGTTTTTTTTTTGCTAATCTTTTTTCTTATAATAGAAATAAATTAAATTTTGTAAAAAAAAAAAACTCATTGAAAATACACACACACACATAATGCTTCTTTTGCTAAGTTCAAAACCAAATAGCTTTAGCATTTTTAAAAATGTCATAAAAAAATATCATAAAAGTATCATAAATATAATAAATAATATAATAATATAATATAATAATATAATATAATAAAAAGAAAAAACTATCATATCATAAAAATATCATAAAAAAATATCCTCATGCTATCCAAAAACAATATTAAAAAATCAATATAAAAGCGTTAGTCACAAATATTCTAAAAATTTCTAACATTTTTTGATGCAAATAATGCTGACATACCCTGCACAAGGTAACCCTTACTACCAATAGGCAAAATAAAAAACAAAAATAAGCAATTCTGCTTTGAAAATTTTCAGAAGCCAAAATTAAGTTCACCATAACTTTAATAAAGTTCATGTAAACATTTTGGAGAAAAAAAATTTTGGTAGTAGCAAAAAAACACTCAGCCAAAAAAAAGGAGAACTTCATAAGTGTTGAGAACCTTCCACTGAATATAAAGCAAAAATTTGGCCTTACGTAGCGCTACTACTATTGTTAGTTTTTGAGCTTTCTCTGCACTAAACAGAAAAAAAAAGGACTTATTTATTTATTCAAAGAAGTAGTAGTACTAGTAGTAGTAGTACCAGTAGTAGTAGCTATCCACCCATACTAGTCAATTTGTTTGATTCGTATGGGTGCCCAAATTAATGCCCTCAAACTAAAAACTACCTAAAACTAAATTATCAATTATAACATTAATAAATCAGGCTAAAAAAATACGATATAAAATAAGGCACTCAACAAATAATAATAATAAATCACTTTTGCATTAGCTGTACCCTACGTATTACAAAGATGTGTAACAACAAAGATTTTGAACAACGATGCATAGTTAAAGCGCATTTTTAATTTAAATTTGTGCTATGTAAGTTAAAACTACATGCATTTATTAAACATCTTGTGCTTTTTCGTTAAGTTTTTGTTTACAAAATAAATTATATCATTAAATAATTTGTGTTGGTATGACAAGATTCTAACTGAAACTTTTTACATTAGGAGAATTTAGAAAATTTTTTTTTTTAATGTTAATTAAAATTATCTAAATTATTGCTTTTTTAATTGTTTATGTATTCTTATTTTAGTTGACATATAAATACACATAAATAGATAAAAACAAGAGTTAAATAAATATTTGTATTTAGATATTTAAAAAAGAAAAAAAAGGTTTATTTGCTATTCTCTTAATGTAAAAAAAAACAGTTAGAATCTTTTTTATTTTTGTTTTAGTAAAACAAGTCATTTGTAAATGCAATTATGGGTCATCCATAAAGCACATCACCCTATATTTGTCAATTCTTAACCCCTTCTCTCCTGTCACAAACGATCGCATAAACCTGAAGCCCTCTCCCACCTGAACTGTCATAGCAGTTTTTATGTAACTCTAACTCTAAATAATAGATATAAAAATCCAAAATAAACATTGCTCAGTAACGTAAGTGATGTAACGTATGTTAAATCTATAGTATCAAAAAAACAAGTTTATTTTCCTTAGCCAGTCACCTCTGATAAAATTCTATATATGTTTTAAATTGGCATAGAATTCTTAACATCTTGTGAAAGTTTCTAATACAAACTGCTTTACTGATTTGTAGAAATCTGACCTAAAAGTTGAAGCAATTTTTCTACCTTGATTTCTGTGTAACGTAAGTTAAGTGGCATTTTCAGTAATAAGTTCACTCTCTTTTGGCCAGACTCGAAACTTTTTAGTTTATTTTATTCTTTGGACTGCTTTCTTACAAAATAGCTAAAAGTTTGATTTACAATTTAAATAAGCAAATATTTGATAAAGTTGTTGCACGTGTAAAGTAAGTTAAAAATGAAATTGCCCATATATATATATATATATATATATATATATATATATATATATATATATATATATATATATATATTATATATATATATATATATATATATATATATATATATATATATACATATACATATACATATACATATAAGTATGTATATATATATATATATATATATATATATATATATATATATATATATATATATATATATATATATATATATATATATATATATATATATATATATATATATATATATATATATATATATATATATATAAGTATGTATATATGCATTTCAAGAAATGTTTCATCTAGTAAAAATGTTTACTTGCAAATTTCCTAATTCACCAATCCATTCACAATCATTGCCAAAGTTGTAGCATCTTACTTTAAAGGCAAGAACTGTTCTTTTACAGGCTTTATCTGGATACACCTAAACAGAATAGATAAAATAAAATTTATAAAACAATTTTTAAAGCTTTTTTAACTAATAGTTTATTATTCATTGTCTAAAACATTTTGGTTATTTAAATACTTATATAAAGTCTTTTACAAACAAATCTCGGGTTTATGAAAAATTGGGTAATAAATTGTTAAAAACATATATAAAATAAGTAGCTTCCTAAACCCTATCCTGAGCCCTGTCGAAGTAAGTACAGTAAACATGTAAATAAGGAGAGCATAAATGGGGAGGTAAATTTAGTAAAAATAAAAAGTAAAAAATTGTTTTTGCATAGTAAGAGCCATATTAACTCTAGAATGAAGATATATGAAGTAGTGATCTGTCGCACATCATACGTCATAATGTAATTCTTATTTCATTTCATTTTAGGAATAACCAATGTAATATCAATAGATTATAACTTCAATTTTTACAATCTATTGACTAAATTATCATAAATTAAAAAAAGGCAAAAAAATAAAGCAACAAAGTATAATATAAGAATATAAATATAATAGAAATAAATTATAATGATAATTAGCATTAATTAATATAGTTATAATGATAGAAATAAATAGCAATAATTATTTTAATTATAATGATAACATCATAAAATAAAGCATAAATAAATACTGTGGCTTTTTTAAAGACAAAAAAATATTTTCTAGCTTACATCATTTATTTTTCTAGCAAAAATAATGAAAAAAACATTAGAATCAAACAAAGGTTTTTTAAATTTTATCTTTGTAATGTGGAGTTATCAAGATATTCTAAAATTAAAACAAATTTTTTTTCTCCCCGCAAACAGTGGTAGTGGTGCAGTAGTAGCCTTATGTAAGGAGCTCAGTAACTTGATCATAACTACAAGATGACATTTGGTAGCCTTAATAAAGTTGTTCCTCAACTTACTTTGTCTATCAAAATTTTTATTCAGCAAGTTTATAAGTAAATATATATATATATATATATATATATATATATATATATATATATATATATATATATATATATATATATATATATATATATATATATATATATATATATATATATGTATATACATATATATATATATATATATATATATATATATATATATATATATATATATATATATATATATATATATATATATATATATATATATATATATATATATATATATATGTATATATATATACTACCACTGTTTGCAGAAGAAAAAAACATTTTAATTTAATATCTTACATGACATGTATGTAGCTGCAGACAAAATAAAAAAGTAAAAACTTTAATATAGAAAAAAAAAACTAACACTATCGCCTGTAAGTTCAAAAAGAAAATCAATTATATCACGTTGATTGCTTTCAGTCACACAATATTCTTCACTTTCCTCTAATCCTTCGTTATTCAAATAAGCATCAACTACATTTTTTTCACGAGTTGAATGCTCTTCAAGTAAAGTTTTTAGGTTCACAGGATTTTTTTGTTCTGCATCCACATTTAAAAACGAGGAAAAACTACCAAAAAATTCTCTTGACTTTTGCTCCGAAAAAAACGTCAGGGGGACGTACCTGGATAACTCTTTTAAAGAAAAATCTTTGTTTTCTTTTATGACAATTTTTGGACCTTTATTTTTCATACTTGGAGTTACAGGTATATTGTGTTTTTCTTCATTTTCATTACTGAGAAGCGATTTCATAATATTATTTGATTGATTGTTTGACTCTAAAAGATCATTATCTTGTTGATAGTTTGAATTTTTATCTTGTAGACTGATTAATTTGAACTCACTTTCATTATTAAAAGTATTGAAATTGTTTTGAGATAAAGTTTCGTTACATTTTTCATCTATAGTTATATTATTCTCATTTGATAAATTATCTAAATCATTAAAATCATTTTTATTAATAGTTTTTTCAACGTTATTACTAGAACTAGATTCAACATCTGTGCTAATGTTTTTATGAAGGCTTGAAGTAGGCCATGTTGTATTAAGAACTTTATCAATATCCTCTACACTATCTCCATTTAATGCAAATAATGGCATGCTTCTATAAGGGGTCTTTTTGGCTTTCAAAACCTTTTTATCATCAAGTGTTGTCAGTGATAAACTGAGTTGTTTCCCTAAAGGAAAAATTTTGTTTGTATTTGATTTCCTAAATGAAACATTTGGGTTTGAAGATAAAACAAAATCATTCTCATTGGACAAGTCTTCATTTTGATAGCTGCTATTATGATTGAAATTATCTTGGAGTGAGTTTAAGTCGCCAGTACTAACAGCTTTTTTAATCTCAAACGTTTTATGAAAAAATAAAGGTCTGCGATTATCCCAACTAAGTTCAGCAGAACGTCTTTTATGATAAGGAAAAGAAAAATCATTATTTCCATTCATACTGCCAGAATAATAATAGGATCGCAATTTGACATCTTCTTTCTTTTTGTTATAAAGGGGGTTACCTCTTGGAAAACTTTTTGACTCTATCAGTAATGGATGTAAACCAGCATAATTAGCTTTTGGTGATATTTGGGCTTCAACTACATGATTCTTTGAACTTGCTCGATCAATTAAGTGAAATATTTGTTTTTCAATGCTTGTATCAGTTTCATCACTGTCAACACTTTTTATTTTTCTTAACCTCTTCAAAAAAGCCATACATTTGCAGGATAAAATATTTTTATAATTTTTTAAACAATATAAAACTATGAAAAAACCTTTTTAATATTTTTAATGCAAACTACATCAGTCTACTTTAAAATGCAGAAAAATGTCAAGCATCAATATAAATGTAACTATGGCAAATTATCTAAAAAGTTAAAAAAAAAAGTATTATTTTCAAAGAATTAAAATGCTTTGTAAACATTAAGCTGTTTCTTTTTAGCTGGCTTTAAGTATATTTCTATTGTTAATCTTTTCCAATAGTAAATCAAAGTATCCAAGCAACAATGATGAGTTTTTTAATGTAGCTTCCTAGCAACTATGATAAGTTTTTAAATTTAAAAAAAATTAATTTCTAACAACTTTAACAACTATTTTTATTTAATCATAATTTGTTTCAGTAAGTTTTATGTTTCTATCAAATTATATTTAAAAAAAAAACTTTAATAGATTATATAACTAAAAAAACTAACAAAAAAAAAAAACTTGTGCAGTTATGACTCTGTTGATAAAGGTATATTAACAGAATCATTACTACACAAGCTTTATGGCATCAGAGATTTACCTTATCTCGTGTTAAAACTCTTCTATCAATAGGACAGGTCGAAGGAGATTTTCTAAAATAATCAAAATATTTTAGAGAAACTATTTAAATTCTTTATCTATTGTTATTAGTTAACATTATTATGAATTAGTTTGTTATTTATGTTTTTCAAGCTGTCTCCAAAATAACTGTCAAATATTGCTTAAAAAATTATTTTTTAAATAATTATAATATTAAAACAAATATAAAATTAATTAAAGACAAATTAAAATATTAATTTCATTTTTATATTGACCTTAATTAACTATTTATTGCTAAATAAAAAGTGATAATTTTAAATACAAAATTTTTGTGTTTAACTATTGTTAATTAATCATAATTTAAAATAATAAAAAATTCTCAAAAAAAATTCTCAAAAAAAAGTCTCAAAAAAAAAAAAAAAAAATTTCAAAGTATGAAAGAATAGAATAGCAATATAAATGAGAAGCTTTTAGTGAAGTTTTCAGTTCTTTAAGTCAAATTCAATTCTCAAGAGGGTGTTCATTGGGTCTGAAAATTATTCATATGAACACAAGGAGGTGCTTATATGGATTAAAATCAACTGCCTAACCAGAATAGAAAAACTACCAAGATCTGCTTTAAAACTGATATACTTTTAACATTGTGTTCATATGTAAAACTATTTACCCTGGCTAGGTGAGATCTTGCCTATGTCCTACCAGGATCCCGGTTAGGTAGGCAGAAAATTATTCATATAAACACAAGCTTAAAACCATCCCGGGTAGACTGGACAGGTTGGATACAAAATTTAAATAGCATTTGTTTGATTTTTAAATTTAAATCATTTGACCATATGTTTATAAAACTTTAACATTTGTCTTGAAGTTTTTTTTTGTTAGTTTATTATAAATTATTTATGATATTTTGATATTTGATATTTTATATGATACTTTGTAAAACATGCAATATTATCCAACTTTTAATATGCATATAGTAAAAATTAAAAGTTATCAAATATTTTTTTTTTAAATCGAAATAGTTTTTATTAAACATTATATATATATAATGTATATAATGTATAACTTTTGTATATATATAACTTTTTTTAAACATTATATATATATAATGTATAACTTAATGTATATATATAACTTTTTTGTATGGATTATATAGTATTTTTTTATTTGTATATTTTGTTTTTCTGTTTACTTGATAATAATTCTTGATAAAAACACACAACTTTTTGATAGCTTGAAACATTAATTTTTTTTTTATTCATATTAGGAATTCAAAAGAAGATAAGTGATATTTTGATTATCCAAAAAAAAAAAATAGAAGACAAGTGTTTCTTCATGTTTTGATTATTCAAACTTCGCAATAAATAAAATTTACATGTGATTATACCATTTAAAATTGATTTATGGCCCAGATTTTTTTGATTCTTAAAGATAATGTTGACATTTAATATTTCATTATCATAAATTGCAACTAAGTATCTTTGAGGTATCTTAAATTTTATTACAAATCAAACAGGGTTTTTAATTTCTGTGCGTGATTTAAAAAATCTAATTATTTAGAAAAAGAAGTGTTAAAAAGTTATAATAAAAGTGATTTTTTTACTTTGCATATTTTTAGGTTACTGAATTGAATGGCAAAAGTATTTTTTTTTTTTATTCTACAACATTTTAGCATTGTTTTTTTGCATCACACAGACATATCACACACTAACAAATATTCATCCGTGCATGATAATTATTTTTCTTTAGCTTTATAACGTTTGAATTCCATATTAGCTAATTATTTAGTTTGAGGGTAATTCCACATCAAATCACCCAAATTTTTCAAGATTTTGAACCATAGGTCTCATATTTTCTTTAAACTTCTTTAGCTGTTGCATTTCATATAGAAAAGTTCACATGCAAAATTTTAGCCAAAAATGTTCAGCCGTTCACAAGATATCAAGGTTTTAATATAGACCTGGTTTCCCAAAATGACCTGGTTTCTGTGTCATTTTAAAAAAACGTTTGCTCTAATAAAATGAAAAATAATGAAAATAAAAATATGAAAATTAGCATTTATAATGCTTTTCTAATGCAGAATTCAAAAAATGCACTTAGAATGCTGAAATATGAGCAGAACATGCTTTAAAAATAAAAACACGCCTAATTTATATATTCAAACTTAGGGGTCATATATCTCAAAACACCCCCGTCTAGATTTTTTTTTTTTTGCTTTTAATATTTTTAGCTACTTATTATCTTACTAGGCACAAAAAACCTAACTGGAAAAACAACTAAAACATATAGAACCATAGTTTCCAAGATACACCACTTTTATGGGTGCCCATAGCAATTTTCTAACAAGGGGGAGGGGTGAGGGAACAACAAAATATTTTTAGTGATGTTCTAATTTAGTTCAATTTACCAAGAATACTTTAAAAAAAGCATATTGCAAAAGACATGGTGAAAACAACTTTTTTTTATTACAGTTAGAGGGGAGGAGAATAGTGTTTCAATAACACCTGGCATTGCCATATCTCTGTCATTTAAACCATTTAGCCAATAAAACATATCAAACTACTTTGTATGAACAGTAGTTACTTAGTAGTGATAAGTTGTAGATGAGTTAAAAAATAGAAAGTAGCATTAAATCCACTGAGACATCATTGTTAACTCTTATCAAGCTCCAATTATCCTACAGCCAAAGATTTGGAAATATCTAATACTATATCATTATTTAATATATTTAAAACTAGAGCTTTTTTTTTTACTGAAAACTAAGTAGGAAAGATCTTTTTTTTTTTTGTATCCTTCGAATTGTTTTTTTCTTACTGCAAAAGCAATTAATACACTTCATTGCAAACTAATTAAAAAATTAAAAGGGTATGGCATCACTTAAAAGCTGCTAAAAATCTTCCTAAAGATAGTACTTGTGTAGCAAATTATAGAATTCTGTAAAGAATTAATTTTGGTTAATAGACTTTTTATATATTTAAGGAAGTCTTAATTATATGATAACTTAATTATATGAACTTAACAACTGAAAAAACATCCGGTTTTGTTTTTATATAAAAACATTTTATAAAAAATAATTGTTATGTTAATATGATATTTTTTTTAATTTTGACAACTATAGTTTGTAAAAGTTTATTAAAAATTAGTTTATAAAAGTTTAGTTTATAAAAGTTCAGATATAGAACAACATTTATTGGTAAGATTATATTTAAATTTTAAAAAATTAATAATTTAAATAATATAATTATTTAAAAACTTCTTTTTTTACAACATTTATTAATATTAATAATAATAATATTAAGAACAACATTTATTAAAAATTATATTTATTAAAAAACTTTTTTTACATACAATTAAGTAGAAGAATTTTATTTTTATTTTTAGGAAATACTTTCATACTAAATAATTTATCTTATTAAGATGTGTTCTATTGGGTTAATGACATCAGATGCTTGCGAAGGCCAACAAGATGTTATTGAAACTTTAAGCAATGAAGAAAAAATAATTATATCTTTACGCTGTAATATTGAATTATCAAACTTAGAAATATTATGTGAAAGACATAATACAAAATATTTGAAAATGTATCCTATATGGCAGAAAGCTTGTTGTGATCCATTCAATAGACATACAAAGAAAATCACAAGTATGTAGCTGTAAAATTTAAATATTTCATTAATTTATGTTTTTCAAAAAATAAACGAAAGTTTTGAACTTATGTGCAGACATACTTTATACAATTCAATTACTTTTAGAAAATCTTGGCGTAATTACAATAAAAGAGTCACAAGTCATGATGAGAAATTGTTTGAATGTTCCTCCTGGGAAGAAACTTTGCAAACCTTGTAAACAAAAGATTGCCAGAAAAAAAGAACTTACAGAAGAGGAGCAAAGTAAGAGTGAACAAGATGAGGATTTTCTAATATCACCATGCAAAAAAATAAGACAGGAGATCAATAAAGAACTCAAAAATTTTAGTTTATCTCCTCTAAAATCTCATTCAAAATCATTAAAACATATACTGTCAGAAGGAAAGCAAAAAGTTGCATGCATCAACGAAATGGCGTATAACGCTACTAGAAAAATTGAAACTCAATTTTCCTCAAAACTATGTTATGAAACCAATGGGATGAAAAAGAAGGCTGCAAACTTTGATGAAATTATGAGCTTGGTAAAAGAAAAAATTCTATGTTCTGACAAACGAACTATTGTTCAACTTCTAACACTGGCACCCCCAAGTTGGTCAATATTAGAAGTACAAAATAATTTTTCGGTTACAGAATACCAGGCCAAGATGGCTAGAAAAATTTTTAATAAAAAAGGATTGTTAGGTATCTCTCCATTGTATAAGGGTAAAGTCTTACATAAAGAAATAGAAGATTCAGTTAAATTGTTTTATGACTCAAGTGATTTATGTCGAACTATGCCTGGAAAAAAAGATTATGTCAGCATTCAAAAGAACGTCCACAAACAAAAAAAACTGCTTTTGTGTAATTTAAAGGAACTATATGTATTATACAAAGAAAACAATCCAGAAATAC